TTTTTATTTTTCAATTTTTAGACATGTTTTTAAATGGAAGCTGTATTGTTTTATTATTTCATTAAAAAATAGACGTCAAAACGAAAAAAATGAGCCCTGTATGACCTCTCTACGATGATTGTAAGTAGTAAAATGTAACTTTGAAAACAACGTGTCTCGGACCGAAATAAATGAATCTTTCAAACAGGTTTTAATATTTCAATTTAAAATTTTGGTTTTGTTGTTTGGGACACAAAAAGGAGTACTTTCAGCAAGTTTGGTTTCATCATCATCATCATCAGCCTATCGCAGTCCACTGCTGGACATAGGCCTCTCCCATTGCACGCCACTTAGATCGATTTTGGGCTTCTCGCATCCAGCTCCTGCCAGCCATCTTGCGCAAATCGTCACTCCACCTGGCCTGTGGGCGTCCTACACTACGTTTGCCGAGACGCGGTCTCCACTCAAGAACTCGTTTTCCCCAACGGTTATCGGTTCTGCGGCTAATATGGCCAGCCCACTGCCACTTCAACTTGCTGATCCGGTACGCTATGTCGGTGACCTTAGTTCTCTGCCGGATCACCTCATTTCTGATGCGATCCCTTAGAGAAACGCCGAGCATAGCCCTTTCCATAGCACGTTGAGCGACTTTGAACTTGTGGACCAGCCGTACCGTAATATCCACGTTTCAGCTCCGTATGTCATGACGGGTAGGACGCACTCATTAAAGACTTTCGTCTTAAGGCACTGTGGGATCGACGATGAGAAGACTCGACGTAGCTTCCCAAACGCTGCCCAACCCAACCGAATTCTTCTGTTCACCTCGTCCTCGAAGTTGTTTCTACCTAACTGCAATGTCTGCCCGAGGTACACATAATTTTGAACAACTTCGAGAACGGCACCGTGTACCGCAATCGGTTCCGGTAGTACATGTTCGTTGAACATGACCTTGATTTTATCCAAGTTCATCCGTAGGCCGATGCGTACAGAAGTGTCAGCTAAGTCATTCAGCATTTGCTGTAGGTCCTGCAACGTCTCTGCCATGATGACGATGTCATCTGCAAATCGCAAGTGAGAGATGTATTCGCCATTAATATTGATGCCACGCCCTTTCCAGTGCAGCGTCTTGAACATGTCCTCCATTGAATTTGTGAACAATTTCGGGGAAATAACGTCCCCTTGTCTCACTCCTCGATGCAATGGTACGGGCCTTGTTTGCTGATTCTGTACTTGGACGGACATGGTGGCGGCTTCGTAGAGACATCTCATCACTTTGATGTATCGCCAATCTACTTGGCAACGCTGCAGGGACTCCAGAACAGACCAGATCTCGATCGAGTCAAAGGCTTTCTCATAGTCCACGAATGCTAGACACAGGAGCTGATTATATTCTTCGGTCTTCTGTATAATCTGCCGCACTGTGTGGATGTGGTCTATGGTGCCATATCCGCTCCGAAACCCAGCTTGCTCCGGTGGTTGGAATTCGTCGAGTCTTCGCGCAAGACGGTTCGTGATGACTCTCGAAAACAGCTTGTAGACGTGGCTTAGAAGGGATATGGGTCGATAGTTCTTCAACCTGGTCTTGTCACCCTTTTTTGAAGAACAAGACGACCACACTCCTACTCCACGCTTCTGGAGTTCTCCCTTCAAACAGGACAGCGTTGAAGAGCTTTTGGAGCTCCCTTAGTACGGGTTTACCCCCGGCCTTCAGCAGCTCTGTTGTAACGCCATCCTCTCCAGGGGCTTTTCCATTTTTCAGCTGTCCAAGAGCCATCTCGATTTCGTCAATGCTAACTTCTGGCAGGTCTTCGGTGTAGTGACGTGTTAATGTGGCTCTAGAGTCCTCATTTTCGGGATCAGGTCGAGATGCATGCGAAGCGTATAACCGGCCATAGAAGCTTTCCACTTCCAAAAGGACTGCCGGCTTCGAAGCAACGACTTCTCCACTTTCTGTAGTCAACTTTGTCAGGTGGCTTCTTCCAAGAGATTGTACGAACACTTTTGACCCCCGATTTTGCTCGATCGCTCTTTCAATTGAAAGAGTATTGGAGCACCGGAGGTCGTGTCGTACGAGTTTACTGATCTCTCGGTTTAGAGTCCGCTTTGCCGACAAAGTGACAGGTGGGTTTTCACGTCGTTTCTTCATCAGCCCTAGGGTCCTTTCTGAAAGCTTCGACTTCCTGCCCTTACGCTGCATTTCACAAAATCTCATACCTTCTTCCCTGAGGATCTGAACCACATTTTTGAGGTTCTGGTTTACGTCGATTGTGGTTTCCACGGCAGCGAATCGGTTTTCCAGTTTTGACTGGAACGTTTCAGATCCTGTCATGGCTTGGAGCCGAGTTGGTCGGAGCCTGGATTTCATCAAACAGACACGTTCCGCCTTAAAGTTGATATTCAGAGAGCCCCGGACAAGTCGGTGATCACTACCGGTATTAAACCTTTCTATCCGTCATGATGAAATCGATCTCATTTCTGGTCATAGCGTCGGGGCTTTGCCACGTCCACTTCCTTTGGGGCTGTTTCTTGAAGAAAGAATTCATCAAAAACAGCCCCTCCCGTTCGAGGAAGTTGACCAGCATTTGCCCCCTATGATTCCTGCTTCCAAATCCATGGGATCCTACTACCGATTCGCCGCAATTCTGTACTCCCACTTTAGCGTTGAAGTCACTCATAACAACGTTGTAGTGGGTCTTAGTTGTGAAGTGGAGGGCCCTCGATATGTCATCGTACATATCCTCCACCTCGTCGTCCGAATGTGCCGAGGTCGGTGCGTACACTTGCACAACCTTGAGGCTATACCTCTCGGTGAGCTTGATAATGAGGTACGCTACCCTGTTCGACACACTGGAAATTTCCACAACGTTGTCAGATAGGGACTTATTTACCAGAAACCCAACCCCACCTTGGGATTGTTGGTCTCCCTCGCGGAAGTACATTAGGTGGCCTGACTCGAGGGTTATGGTGTCCTCCCCCTCTCTTCGGACTTCACATAGCCCTAGGATATGCCACCTAATCTTCCCAAGTTCCACCTCAAGTTGCGCCAGATGCGAGTCTAGCCGTAGCGTGCGTCCGTTGTACGTAGCCAGGGTCAGTCGGTTGTGGTGGCCTCCCGTAGCCCGGAGATTCTTCGCACCCCCTGCCCCGCCTTTACCGAGGTCGCCACCATGACCAGGAATAGCGGGGCCGCCGGGAACTGGGGGCCGTGGCCTTTGTTGCGTCTGCATGGGAGGGGTTTGCCCATAATCGCCACGCTGGGCAGGCGGGTTGGCGATCGCAGGGCGTAGCTTGTCGCACCGGTAACGCTGCTGCCCGTCACCGGCCTGTTGTATTTAGCTACGCCTATTGGGATGGATATACCGCCATCGGTCGGTCGCCAGAGCCTCGTTCGTCGTTCAGCAGGATGCACCGCGGGCAGGTGAGGTTGGCTTGGGGGCGAAAGATGGTGGTTCGCCCCTCACACCCCAAGTTTGGTTTAAAAATATTTATTTTTGAGAAATTGACAAGTAAAAAACAAAAAACAATTTTTTTTTGATTTATTGCATTTTTTTCTGAAATTTTGAGGTTATATTAAAAAATGACCCATACAAAAGTTGTAGATTTTTCCAAGATCTACAACTTTTGTATTTAACATTTTTCAGTGGGACATCAAATTTCGCGTGAAATTGCAAAAAACACGAGATGTATCCATTTTCACCCCTTTTCAACCCCTAAAATCATCCCCTAACTTTCTTGGGCACATAACTCATTTTCATTATGTTGACTTTAACCCTTTTAACCATTTGAAAACGTATGTATCTGGATAACATTTTTCTTTTTTTATCTCTGTAAATGAGTCAATGTGCCTGGACTATAAATACAACATTGAACAACTTTCAGAAGCTGTAATAATTTAGTTGCAAAAAAGTGCCGTTTTAATTAAAAAGTGGCTTTACGAAAACTATGTCATACAAAAAACTACATATACTACACACTAGAGCCTATGAATTACCAAAGTTATGTAAGCCTACATTTATTAGTCTATTTATAAAATCATTAAAAAACAACGACTTGGCATTTTTTTTGCAGTTTTCAATTGCATGGCTCCTTAGTTTTTATTTCTATCTTAAAACCCCGATTTGGTCACAGACTCACTGATGATCAGCAAAATTCATAAGTCCCAATATTAGTACACAAACAATATTCTAAAACTTGATGTCTGATAATCGCTATGACAGGGACTTATTAAGTTGTAAAGTTTGTACAGTTAGGCCTTCTAGAGCGATCTTAGACAGTACGAAAGCCCTAGAAGGGATTTCGGGATTTACTCGAGCGCACTTACCAGCCAGTACATTGTAAATAGACCAATTATGTATGCGTCATCAATAACCCAGGGGACTAACCCAGAACTAGTGTGTTGTACAATCCTCTGCGAAATCAACCTAGGGGATGGGCACCTGCCTCTCACCTAACAATGCGTTACCGCCCTCTGGAATCTGGTTTAGGGGGAGTTGGGGTTTCGGTAACCTAACTACTAGTAACTACATATTTGTCCCATTATCTTCAGGATTAACGGCTTTTTCCATGTCAATAAATATAATAGTGCCAGGTATTGAAGAAGACGAAGTACTGGTTCTAATAAAAGAATATGTGTATGAACTTATTTTATTATCGGTACTAGTTTATTGCATCTATATCTAATCCAATCGTTTTGAATATTTGAGAATATTATAGCTAGTGAGAGATTCTTAGTAGAGTCCTGACAACAATGATTGATTAAATCATTTGTGCCATTTGTGTCGTCACCAACGTTCTGATAACGCCTATTTTGGGGGAATTTCAGATGAATGTGAAAGTGAAATAGTGGTGTTCTGGTGTGGTTAAGTCTCGTTGGCCCGTTGCAAGTAAAAACGCTTGCTGCTCATCTGACATGTTTTCATTTGTTCCTTCATTCCATTTTATCGTTTCTTCAACATATCAGGTGGTTTCTTCTTCTCAACGTTCTACCTTCACAAACATGGCTTTGAAACAATCTTTTGCTCTTAATAAATTGGGCTGTTGCTGTTAAGCGTTTCTGTAGTCCGTCCGTCTGTGGTTGGAAATAATTTTGTTTTAGACGGGGCGCGGCTTTTCATCAAACGAGGATTCAACACTCGTGGTCCTTCAGTAACTAACCTGAAGTCAGTTCCTGGATCGTTCACTTGCGGCTTAGGTCTATATACTGCTTGTGGTTTAGACACTTTGCATTTCACTTTAGGGGCTATGGTGCTCATAGGCTGGACCTGCTTTGGAAGCGGAGTGGAAGTTTTCTGCAAGTCTTTGAACATTTCCTCTAGGCACGGCAACTTGACGAAACTTTCGGGATTAAATCTATTAAATTGGTTGAATACATGGCTACACATAGTGTTTATAGGGAAGTCTGCAACCACGTTGTTGTATGATTGGGACATGTTGTTCATAACGCCACAGTAACCGCAATAAGGACAGCAGGCAGGATATCCAGTGTTATTGGGACTCATTGGGCATCCGGCGCCATAGAAGCTCCAAGAAGGGTTGGGGTTAGGGCAAAATAAGCTAGACATAACTGGAGAATAGTTGTAAGGTCCCCAGCGGTATCCGCTTGTATAGCAACCATAATCACATGGTACACAAGGGGTGCACATATTGCAAGGGAAGCAACTGTAGCGGCAAATACTTAGCAGATGGGAACTAGAAATTCTTGGGCTAGAGCAGATGTGGATTAGGGAACTCAGTAAGTTTAAAATCTTCGAACTTGTTTTATCTTGTGACGCCGCATCCTTCTCCGTTATGTGTACTTGGTCCTTCACAGTCAAGCACGGCTCGAAAGTCGCTGAAAGGATGATTATTCATATAATCTCAATCCTATCAAGTATAGAATTAGGAAGGTGTTGGGACAATCTGGAATAGTCAAAATTGTGCGAGAACAACTAGCGTCAAGAAGCCGGGCATCGCTACAAAGGCGAAAACAATAGAAAATGATTGTAGGCAGTAATTTGCGTATATATACGTAGTGCGTGTTTGAAGGCTTACATTTGAGTATATTTTACTCTGAAAAGCAAGTGAATTCAATTTGTCTTGAGTGAAGTATTTTAAAATTACCATTTTTCAAAATGAGCGCGATTTCGTATTCATATGACCTAAAATTCTGAGGGTGTTCAGTATAGATATAGGATGATGTTGGTAAGTTACGAAGCCTTTTGTGACTGTTCATTTCTTTTTAGGTTTAGCAGCCTCCCCTATTACACGTGGTAGCAACAACGTGTTCAATCTCTCTGGCGATTCCCGAGCAACTTCTGTTGGTTTGGCTTTCTTTTTTGGGGCATCCTCCCCCATAACGCGTGGTAGCAACATTATGTTCAACCTCTCTGGCGATTCTCGAGTGACTGTTTGGGCTTTATCAGATTTCTTTTTTGGGGCATCCTCTCCTATCACACGTGGAAGCAACAATATGTTCAACCTCTCTGGCGATTCTCGAGTGACTGCTTGGGGTTTGTCAGATTTCTTTTTTGGGTCATCCATTCCTATGACACGTGGTAGCAACAACATGCTTAATCTCTCTGGTGTTTCTCTAGGTGTCTTTTCCGGTTTTTTCTTCTTGCCGGCTGGAGCCTCACCTATCACACGCGGCAGTAGCAATATATTCAGTCTCTCTGGAGGTTCTCTACTAGGTTTGGCACTCTTATTTGAATTAGCTTTCTCCGATTTTGCTCTGCATATTATATATTGTCTCTTAGGTTTGTCTGTTTGTTTCTTTAATAAAGTATTCGAGCCCGAATGTGGTTGAATTGGATTGATAAAAGTTAAAGGAAGATGACTGTTGCAATGGAAACCTTGAAATGGCACCATATATGATTCCGAACCAGCAGAAAATGTGGGTGTGTTGAAAGTGCAGTTGTAAGGAACAAGTACAGGTTTGAATATAGGTGGACAACCGATATTACCACAAAGGCTACACTGAACGCCTGGCAAGTTAGTGCCATAAAGCCTAGCATCTGTCCAATAGGGGATTGAACAAAACAGAGTGGAATTTAGAGGAGGGCAGTGACGATGGCAGTCCCAACCGCAAGGAAAACCACAAGCTCTGCAGGGACCAAACGGCCCACTAGGGCCATAAGCCCCATAACCACAAGGTCCACAAGGTCTAGCCGGTTTATAGCAAACGTAGGGTCCATAACTGATGTAGGGATAACAGTAATAGTAGCAACAATTTTGATAGCTCGGGTAGGATATGTTCATTTGAGAGCACATGTAGAGAAGGGAATTTTTGGTCTTCGAGCCATCTTCTAATGCTGCATCGGCCTCCGTCTTCTTTATTTGTACTTTCTCCATCACAGTCAAGCACGGCGCGTTAGTTGCTGAAAGGATGATGATTCATATAATCACAATCCTGTCAAATCTTGGAGGGTGTTGGCTTTACCAATTGGGAGGAAACTTGCGGAAAGAGCCGGACATCGCCATGAAGACAGAACGGGACAGACTGAAGTTGCAGACTTTTCTACATATGTGTTGTGTTTGCACGCGTGCGTGTGTGAGTGTGTCATGTCTATTGTAATAAATAATCGTGAATTACATTTCAGGACATCGGCAAAAGCTATAGTGGTTTTAAAATGCCTAACATTTCTCAGATGTCTTGAAACGTAAATCAGAGCAGCAAAGATTCTTATACAATAAAACCATAAGTATTAGAGCTGTGACACTTTATTCCATAGGATTATTGTACAGCATTTAAGCAGATCTGCGTCTTTCTACAGAAGTTTGCGACAGAAGAGAGCGTCCTGCTAGCCATGGTCTTTCCAAGCATTTCTTTTCATCAAGTTCCGTATAAAATGGTGTTTCCTTTATGGTCTTAACAGGCGCAATGGTCTTTAGCAAAATGTCTACCTTTCGGGTCGAAATATTCTCTTTACGCTTTGTCTTCATCACTTTCAACTCATCGCTGAATGACGTATGATTCTCCGCTCTGGGTATATTTTGCTGTAAGCTGTCTCCTTTGTCAGACGGTGGCTTATCTTGTCCCGGATCAGAGATATAAGCTTGGGTAGAATAGGAAGCAGTCATGGTGTGAGTTGAAGATAATGAGCGTACTTGCATGTTTGAAGATTCCTGTTGTTGGAAAGCTGTTGTATTGAACGGATGCTTGCGGATAAGACGTGGGTTGATTGTACTGACAGGAGGGGCAGCGGGAGCGCCAGAAGTAGCGGGATTAGTGGAAGCCTCAGAAGGAACAGGAGGAGCACTGGTTGGAGGAGAGGTTTGGGCATTCGTTTGGCCTTGACATAGCGCACAGAAGCAACTTCCGCTTTCTTTACAGCATGTATTAAATGGTATAGGAGGGGGCGCCACTTTGATGCCAAACATTTGTTCAAATGGAGGAGCTGGTAAGGAGCCACATGTAGTGGCAGTCGGTGAAAGGTTTACTGGTACTGGTGCAACTGCGCAGCTGCAACAAGGGCCACACCAAGGCCGGCATATAGGTACACACGGTGGAAACGAGCAGCCGCCTCCACACCCACATGGGCCGGCACAGCAAGGTCCACAAGAACCACAGCAGGGCCCGCATGGGCCACAAGGCCCGCAAGGTCCACATGGTCCACATGGTCCACATGGTCCACATGGTCCACATGGACCACATGGACCACAGGGCCCACAGCAGGGCCCACAAGGACCGCATGGACCACATGGACCACATGGACCGCATGGACCGCACGGCCCACAACATGGACCACAAGGACCGGCGAAGTTACAACTCATCCCTGGAAAGCCCGGTCCGCATGGTCCGAATGGACCACTAGGGCCACATGGGCCGCACGGTCCACAACCACCACATGGCCCACAACAGCAGGAGCAGTTGAAAGGACCGCTAGCAATATTAGGATTGGGATGCCGGCAGGGGGAAAGGGATGGGCCACAGAGCATGCATAATTTAGAATAAATATCCAAAACTTTCGACTTGTCCAACTTTTGCTCATTAGGAGTTTCTTGAGGCAAAACATTGTTAACTCCATACACACCACACACGCAGCCCGGAGCGCAAGGCCCACAAGGCCCCCCAGGAGCAGGTGGATTAGGTCCACACGGCCCACCCGGGGTAACAGGACCTCCAGGGCACATAGTACCAGTGACGTGGTACGGGCCACAAAACCAAAAACCATAAGGATAATAGTAATAGCCAGTCATAAACTGCATACATTTGGGTGGAGTGTTGCAAGGCGGAGGGAGGCAGTTACAGCCGCATGAACAGCATGGACAGGCTGGACAGGCGCTTACACTGCACAGGTGCTGAAGAACCTCTGGGCTTCCAGATTCTAGTGTTGTAGGCATGGCCACTGCTCCGCTTGAGAGGGGCATGAAACAAGACTGGATATGAGGAGGGCTGCGATTTGCGGAACCACGCTCGTGAGCTTGGCTTTGGCTTGGAAAAATAGCTGACTTTGTGCGCGGTAACCATGACTGATGGTAACGACATACGAATCCTTCCTCTGTGCCTCTGCTCGGGAGGAGACACGGGCAGGAGTTACTCTTATGCAACGATATTGGAGTCTTCGCTTTTTCTTGTCCCACTGGTTGAGGTTTTTTTATCTTGATCGCTGACATATCTCGCAACATACTCTTTACTTGTTCCTTGACAGTCAACCGCGGCCCGAGAGTTGCTGAAAGGATGAGTGGTATTGTAATCACAATCCTATCACCAGGACACAAAGGAGTTAAATAAAATTAGAGAGTTAGAGCCTTATATTATTTATTGCACAATTTTACACATTTAAGTTGCTGCTTATTAAAGTAGATTCGCTCGGGTTTTTGTGTCTAATTGGGCAAGAGTCCAGCAATTGTTCCGAGATGCAGTGGGGAAATGTTAATGCCGCGTCGAGGATTTTTGTCACGGACTTTGCTTTTTAGTAAGGTATGTAAGTTAGTTACTCCCGGTTTTATATTAGGCCTGTCATGTTGCTCTGGCAATAATAATAATAGTTTAAGGCTTGTCTGAGGGCGGGCATACTTCGCCAGAGAATTTGTTTGTGGCCTTTTGTTTTGCATTGCTTCTGTCCATAGGAGGTTTGTTAAAAGACCTGGAGTAAGAACCAGAAATATGCTTCTTGGGATACATTGGAAACGGATCAACCGGTCTCAGATCTGGTTTAGCTAAAGAAATAGGCGGACTATAAGTGTCGTATGAAGAAAATTCGGATTCGATTTTCTCTCCGGACCGAGTACTGTAAGGGCAAATCAGACATGTAGGTTTTTTAGGCGTCTGAGGTTCCGATTGGGACTTGAAAGGAAACAATTTTGATATGACTGATTTACGTGGAGACGCTTTGTTGGAGTTCGAATTAGTCTGTACGTGAGCACTTGTTCCTATGTCACTTGTCGTGGCGCTCTTGATGGCAGGCTGTGGCTGTGACGTAGTTGCCGATAAAGGTTTAAACTGCATAGAAGGGTAATAAAATGGTGATTGTGACCTATTGGCGGGAGACGAAACACCACTTAGGGTCTGCTGATCTATTACTTGCGGGAAAGTTTGTGGGTTTGCAAAAGGGTTACTTGAAAAAGATCGTGGGTTAGCTTGTGGTGTTACTACCCCACATACCCCAGGGAAACAGGCACAACACTTGCATGCACAGCAAACTCCACCCTTACCGGGGCTACATGGGCCGCAGGGGCAACATGTGCCGCTAACATGGTACGGTCCACAGAACCAGAACCCGTATGGATAATAATAATATCCAGTCATGTACTGTATACACTTGGGTGGCGTGTTGCACGGTGGGGGGAGGCAGCCGCAGCCACAGCCGCATGGACATGGACATGGCTTGCTTGAATAATCACGCTTAGAAATAAATGCTCTTGAATTGAGCATGGAGGAAGGCACAGCACATAGATTGCGCGGGAAACGAGTAATCGCCATAGTGTCCTGAATATGTCTCTGAGCCAAGAGCATCGAAGCCTTAGGTATCGGAGTGGGTTCACAAATAAGGGACCTAGTTCTACGGAGGCTGGAATGTATGCGTAAATTTGGCAGTCTAGTTCCAGGAACGAGGTTGGGGCAGGACATGCACAAGCGCATTCGACGTATCGCGTTCTCGGCACAGCTGGAGAGACCACCCGCTGAAGACATCTGCGTCACGTTCGTTATCTTCATGTAACCCTCGATCAGCGAATTCTTCACAGCCTTCATGCTTTGCCATGGAACCGCCGTGGCTGCAAAGGTATTTTACGCTATTCACCTTCATAACAATCCGATTTAGTAGATCGGCACCTCATTAGTACTGACAAATTGGGCAGAGTGGTGGAAAAATGAAATCCAATTTATATTATACATCTGATTTTATTGTAAACAGCCAAAAATACAATAAAATGTAAATCGTATAACAATTAAGCAATGTGGTGTTTTATTTGCACTTATGATTATCATCACGTAGGCTTGCTGGTCATGCGCTTGCTCTTACTGCTAGGGTCTTCTACTTTCTTTGCCTCGGGAGAACGGGTAGTAAAGTTAGGAGGGGCAGTTTGTGGGCCGGTTACAGAGCCCGCCGGAGCCGTGAAACTCGATGTCGTGAATCCCGCCTGAGGTGGTAATCCAGATTGGGTTTGGTTCTCCTGGGCTGGAGACCCTGCTTGAAAGTAGTTTAGAGCTCTGAATCCAGCCTGGGGCATGCAACCACCCTGTGCCTGGAAACCTGGCTGAACGTTACAGCACAGTGGTCCTTGGCAACTCATCTGAGCTTGACATCCCGTTTGGGCCTGGCTTTCAGCACGAGCCATATTAGGGCTTCCGCACTTCTCACATTTGGCCTGGCCTCTTTTGGGACAAGGTTTAGGACAGGGGCAAGGACAACAAGGCCCACACGGCCCGCAAGGGCATGGGCAGGGGCAAGGGCAAGGGCATGGGCAAGGGCAAGGGCAAGGGCAAGGGCATGGGCATGGGCAAGGGCAAGGGCAACGACAAGGCCCACACGGGCCGCAGGGTCCACAAGGGCAAGGGCAACAAGGGCCGCAAGGTCCGCAAGGTCCACATGGCCCACAGGGGCCACAAGGTCCACATGGCCCACATGGGCCACAAGGACCACACGGGCCGCAGGGGCAAGGTCCACAAGGACCGCAAGGGCCGCAAGGCCCGCAAGGGCCGCAAGGACCACAAGGACCACAGGGGCCACAAGGGCAAGGACAGCACGGCCCGCATGGTCCACACGGGCATCCACATGGACATCCCTCCTTTTTCTTATTATCGGCATAACTTCTTCGCAAACCGCAGAAATCTCCACTGCACAGTAGCGCCGTACGTCCATCAACAAACAGCCCAAACAGGGAATTTGACGCGCCAGGCACTGCAAAGGATTTCCAAGCTATAATACTAGGCGAGAAGGCCGCTGGCTGGAAGCTCATGCTATTCGGAAGAACGGGGGGCGCCCGCGCTCTCGCCTAAGTATTATAGCCTGGAGGTCCTGAGACGACCACCGTTCTCCAAATAACACGTCACCAGCGGTATTACGAAACAAAAACACGGTACTTGACAGGTGACAGTAATCTGTCAAAAAGAAAAACCGCCTTCAACGTGAAAACTAAGATGGCCGTTCACCTGCCAAATAGGCTCTGCACCAGAAAATTATTGAACCGAAGATTTCATCAGCTATATAGCATCTACTATACATAAAGGACTAGAATTCTTTTAACATCATCCAAAAGAATAAAAATATGCATTTTGTACGCAATACCCTTATTATTTCGATAAAATCTTCGTTTCTACGCTTAAAACGCAAAATACTGCCAAGACTTCGGCTCTAGGAACGCCATCACAAGGCCCGCGCGTCCATCGGCAACAAATGACCACAGTCCGATGATAGAAAAATCTAGAGATATACTTACATATCGCTGTAGCGTCTGATCTTTTCGCCGCGGTAGCTAAGGGCCGGCCTTTTATCCATTTTAACAAAGAGATGTTCTTTGGTAATACTGCCTTTCTCAAAACTAAAGCCATGTTCACGAGCGTAGATATTTTTTACTGTTGTATTTTTAGATTTTATATTTGAACTTGCTGATTTAGATTTTCATTTGTGTGGGGTTTTTCTATTTTACTTGAAAATTTTAGCCATGGTAGGAGTTTGAGCTGGTCGTGTCAGAACAAGAGCTGGTACTGATTAATTTGAATTATGTGAGCCTTCGAAACATTCAAATATGATTCTTCTATTTAAAATATAATTTTGTTCCTTTACTGTTGACGGCCACGGAGGTCGTCTATGTTTTAAAATATGACAGAAGAAAGAAGTTTTTATGTAATATACTATGAATGTTAGGGGAATACTTAACAGGAATTTCCTTAGGGTACACTTGATTCTCCGGCTGCTGAAACCCGATACGGCGTGTGATTTTTAGTCGCTTCAAGTCCGACATAATCACCCCACTGGTGGATGGTATCAGAAAGGAATTACGGCACAGAAACGAAAGGGTAAATGCTCCAATTATCGGCCATACTTTAATACTACATTATTTTTAACATTCAAAGATTCACACATAGCATTAGCAGCAAATAAACAGATCGGTCACCTGACTGCCTACCGCCTTCTGCCGCCCAAGAACGTCATAACTCAAGAGACAACTACGTTGCCGACTTCTGAGATCAGAGCAATTGTTTCGGTCCAGAAATACCGCAAGCGACAATTCTGCCACAAATTGCGTTGTGCGAGGCAAAAGTACTGTTATGGGATCGAAAAATAAACCTTTAAACGTGAACGAAGCTACGGGCAAATGTTTCGAGTTTTGAGCCTCACCTAATATAGTTATAATGACTAACTCTGCGTGCGCTCGCTGGCTCATTGGACAGCGCACTTCTCTCGCTTTGTCTTACACAGTTCCGTCTCTTCTGAACCGCATGCATTTTAAATTAGAAGTATAGTTAATGACAATAAATATAGCACATTCTGTGCACGAACACGTATCATACAGTCAGACCCAGTTAGATACGGATGAATTGTCAATACGGTAATTCGAGAAGAGGCATATATCAAATATACGGGAAAACGTAAGAGAGGCAGGCTTCGTCACATCTAGGATGGCTAGACTGCAGTGATGCTAAGGCCTCACAGAGATTCGGTTTTAAACTATTATTGCGTTGCTATTCACCTACTCTAGGAGGTTACCGGAGGCGTACCTCCTTCCTCTCTCCTCCCAAAATCCTCACCGCGCTCATGTCTCTTAATTTTTAGGTATCCATGGGTTGCGACTACTTATCATCGGTGACCCAAGCGCTCGTTCACCCAATATACCATAAAAAGGAAATCTTTTTTGTAAAACACTTTTCTGTGTGGTCAATTAATGTCCCTGTCCCAGTGGCGTCTCTATTCTTAGGCAACACACCGTGGGAGCCATAACATACTGCTCGACCCGAATAATACCAGGACCTCACAGGAAACCAGTGTCATCCAAATTCCGTCGTTACTTTTCACTGAGTGAGTACGGATTCCGGGCCTCTACCCCGAATTGTAAGTATTCTGGGGATAGGGAGAACTTAACGTTTACCAATGCACTTGTGGTATCTTGTCATGCATGTGCAACCATCTGGTGACCCGTCTCATTTGCCCCTTCTCCAATCACTCACTTGGTGAAAACTAATGAGAGAATTGTTTAACGCCGGCTTTCTGTGAGGCCGTGGTATCACGACTCTTTGTTGCTGATTGGTTATGGTTCTCAGAAATACACGTCGAAGGCCTCTGGTAACTTTTTAATGCACCTGAGACTCGTGGGTATACATGGACGGCAGTAGATACTTACGATCAGGTGTCCCGCCTGCTCGCCTGCCCTACTTACTTTACCAAAACTACACTTGCAGCCAAAGGAGCTACTGTTTTGTTATACATTTAACTGATATGACGGTACTGTGTTAGGTGCTTGCATTGATATTACAGCTATATATCTTTCTGGCTAAAGCCACGTTTTCACGTTGCGAGTAGACTCGGATCGAGTGCGCTCGGATGCTACTTGTATCGTGTAAGCACGTCACTCGAGTGCACTCGGGCGTCGGTGACCGATCAGAGCGGAATCGGACGCAGTTTTATTTTCGCGAGCAAACTTGGATCATTTTATGTAAAGAAAATGGCGTCAACCAAAAAAAAAGTGGGATGAACGTGACACTATAAGCTTTGTGGAGCTTTATAAACAAGAGAAAGTGTTTTGGAATGTGTCTAAATATATATAAAAACAAAGACGCCCGAAATGCTGCAATACAGCCAGTGGCGCATTAACCCTAAGGCAAAATAGGCATGTGCCTACCTACTAGAGGAGGCAGACATCATTCACTCGTGGCTGTCTCCACAGACCCCGAACGAGAAGGTCGACATGGGGGCTGGTCGCTTTCGTGATGCAATCAGCAGCGACACTGCGGAGGGAGTGGGGAGGACCTGCTTCATGAGGAGTACCGAGAGGCGCGGAAAACTCTGAAGCTGGCCATTAGCCGCGCCAAGGAAGTAAAAAGAAAGGAGATGCTAGAGAGTCTCGATCGTGGCCCCTGGGGTTGCTCCTACGGTGCGGTGCAACAAACGCTCCGCGATTCTGTCATACATATATTATAGAAATCAAATATAGCTCACGTAGGACCCGTAATATTTTGTGACCGTGGTGCTTCCCTGTTTAAAAGGGTGTATGCCTATTTTACTTCATTTTGTCTCCCGCTTTGCTAAGGAGGGAAGCGGATTTACTGTATTTCCAACTCCTCCAATTTTCTTCTGATTAATTTCGTTGCGGGTTCCAAGACAATTTAATTTCTTCCTGGGACTTCCCGAGTTTCATAACTCGGTGTGTTCGTGGGTCACTGCTGTGGATCCTGGTGTACAGGAGTTACAGTGGTGGGCGTGTGGGTGGGATTAGTCCCATTAAAAAAGGTGGTGTTTGAGGGCCTTTGCCCGCAACACGCGGAACACACACCCCCGTCGATAGCCTCCTTGATCGGAGACGACGTGGCGACGGATGCGGGGGTAGGGGCAGCTGTTCTACGGATCCGTTCCAAGAAAACCGCCCCCGGGTCAGACGGGATCCGTGCCCGAGTGCATGGCTGCTTCAGGAAGTATCTGCACTCGATCGCTAGGAGGGAATTGAGCCTGTTACCACTGCGATTGCAGTGAGGACTCGGCTCAGCACACGCTGGCAATTTGGCTTGGGTGTCTCAGCGTCGGGTCCTCATTGCAATTATTGGAGGATCTCTCGCTACCGGCCGTCATACGCTCCATGGCCGGTAGGGACAGTTGTTTTCCTAGGGTCGCATCCTTCTGTGAAGATGTCATCTCGCAGAAGAAGGCGGCGGAGAGGGCCCGGGAGGATGATATCCGCTCGGACCCAATTGGACCGACGTGGACGGGACGGGTTTTCCCCTCCACCCGCCATAACGGCCAGCCGCGAGGAGGGCAGGCGCTAGACGCCTGCCCTCCTCGCGGCTGGCCAGACGGTCCGGACGGTCCGGACGTCCTTATAACAGCAGTCCCCGGATCAAAAGGTAAAGTTCTGAATTCGACCGATTTCTTTATTTGTCACGTGACGTCTTTGCCATTTGTTGTTTATCATGATAAAAGTGCAAACGAGAAGACAGGTCAGCTGCTGTACCTGAAAGTAATGACGGCCACCCAAACACTCTTGCAACTAAAGAGTCCCAAGTGCCTTGGCCGGTCTTAGAGAGTGTTTTTCTTCAAGATTCGTAAAGATATCGCAGCTGACTGTTTGTTCGTATTCCTCGGAGTCAATATCCAATTACTAGGTAGTGCAGAGGTTTTACTCAGGGGTGTTACATTTAGGGAGCAGAGAGAACATGGGGTTTCCACACGGGGGGAGTCGTCTACTCGTCTGTAGATGACCCGAGGTATGTCGGGGCACCAGGGACACCCTTTCTAGGGTATACCTGGTTCCCCGGCTATTAGTACCCGAGACGGCGTGCGGTTTTAGTCGGTTCGAGTCCGACATGCCACCGATAGCTAATTTGATTCAGGCAAATTATAAAACTTTTTTTTTTCAATTTAGAAAAGGGTGACTAAAAATTAGAAAATTACCTAATAATATTAAATAATGTATATATATTATTAAGATCTTATACAAAGCAGGACAAAATTAATTAAAATTTTGTGATATGCGTAAAAAGAAGGAAACATTATCCGCTAACATCAGTAAAGAACAGTTCAAGAAGCTACCAGAATGGGGCTAGTATCGATAAACGATTCAATTCGAAGTTAGCACAGATAGATAAATGCACAGTGATGTTCGAGCGCTCAAATATATTTTTTATAAACCGTTGAAATCAAATCATATCGTTAGATGGCTATTGTACTCTTATGTTATTGTTTTTAATTTTATTTTGAAATCATCTTCTTAAACTTCACTCCCTCTCGCTACATATACGAAATACTATATTATACTAATTTAATCTATACAAATAAATAAAATTGGAGTGTCTGTTTGTAATATTAAAATAACCGCTTTTTACTAAATGCATATGTATGTTTACACGGTACATATGCCAAAATAACATTTTTTTCAATTTTTGTCTGTCTGTCTGTCTGTTTGTTCCGGATAATCTCTGGAACGGCTGGACCGATTTCGATGGGACTTTCACTGGCAGATAGCTGATGACATAAGGAGTAACTTAGGCTACTTGTTTTAGACTATCTTCGTCCCGCGGCGTTGCCCGCTGTTATAACAACAAACGCGGGTAACACCGCGGGTCTCAGCTAGTAATATAATAAAAGAGTGTGTGTCAGCTCCGACGCACGACTGGAGTTTACTCCTCAAGAACGACTCGGCTGCACACAAGTATGCAAGTTATACACACACATTCTACGACTAAAAAGTATTATTCGTAGCATACATTACTAAAAAGTGTAAAAACGTAACGAGGTCATTCAATCACTAAATTTTACTCTTCATATTTTTTCATACCGGGCACCTTATATGATTGTTAAGGAGTAAACTGCAATATTATTAATTAAAATAAAACAATTTTTAAACTAAAAACTAAGTATTTGCATGGTTTTTAAATAAATACACAAGTGACAAGTAAGAAAAATAGACATGTATTTCAACAATCATTTAAAAACAAATATAAAATAAGATTTGCACAGATATACTAAATAATGTAACTCTTATATGGCAATTAATAAATGTTGCTAACATTTTTATTTAATTGCATAACACGTAAATATTAAATAAATAATAGTTAAATAATTTTAATTTAGTTTATCTCCTATGACAGATAAGGCAACTTTAAGAACAGTAGCAACAATAGACGCCATTTTTAATCGTGTCGAGAGTAAACAAAAAATATGGCAACATTATTTTCTTTCCAATATTCTTATTCCATCTATATCTTTTCATATTCAAGTTTAGATATATCTGGAATTCGAACGCGAAGTCAATTTAAAATAATGTAATTTTTTTAATTTATGTATACGCTTGACAGATGACAAAATGGCGGATATCTTTGTTTGTATTTAGTTAACCGAAATAGACGGGATTATTGATGTGTGTGGATTAATTATCATCCTTATTTTCTTTAACGCAGCAAAAACATATGGCAGCCGCAGTAGCAAGAAAAGCCGCAATGCAGCCGGCTATTCCCTTTTTCGCTGTTTGAGGGGAGGGACCTACAATAAAAATTAAAAAAAAACAATACAATTTGTGTTTTATTGTGTGAAAGCATTTGCCGTGGTAACCAGATCGCTGATAAACATACTTTTAATAAGTATATTTCTAGGCAGATAAATTACACCTAGACACTGAACAAAATAATTGATGCTCATCACGCAATTGTTTGTCCTGGGTGGGAATCGAACCCATGACCTTTGACGCAGCAGTCAGGACCACTGACAGTAGAGGTTAGTCCAACGGGCCTAATGTAACACACATATCTATAGATACAAAACTTTGTTCGTCAAATTTGTCGTGTAACGACACCACTGAAACACACCACTGGGGTGTTGTTTACAATTCTAACACAAAACTATGCATTTATCGATTTCAATTATTCTTCATTCGTCATCATCATCATCATCAGCCTTTAATAACTGCTGTACATAGGCCTCTCCTTAGAAAGGAGATTTTGGCCTACTATACCACGCTGGCCAGACGGGTTGGTATAGGGTTTGTGTCAAGTTTTCCTTCTCTCTGCAGTGCTGTTGTCCTGCGTAGTTTTCTCCCTCAGTCGGCTCTTACGACACCCACGTAATGAATAGTGGTGGTGACACTCTGTATTCTTAATCCGTCGCCACACGGACATTCGTAAGATCACGATATTGGCCTTTCAAAAAGCTTTTCCAGAAGTTTCCATAAGTTGCTCTATAGATAGCAGATAAAGTGATTATTGTACAATTTTCAGATCAAGTTTTATAAATTTAGTTGTTTTTATGTTGTAATGGATACAATAGGCTAGTTGACTCAATTTGAAAACTTGGTTAATTATATACTTTAATATTTATTTTATCCAAAAAAAACCTATATTTTAAAGAAAAAGCAAAATTTATATTACGTATTTTGTATTTAAAAAAAAAACAATTTAAATTTCCCTTATAAACACTGAATAGTGTCATGGCGTCTTGAATGACGTCACAGTCTGCGAAACAAAACTGTTTACATCTGTGTCCAGTGTCAACTGTTTCTAATAAAGAATAAGGAGTGACTTGCTCTGTTGTATGAACACGTCAACAACAACAATGATGTTTTGCGTGGCGTGACGTAACACTTTCTGATTGGTGTTCGCTGTCACGTGACTTAATGCCAATTTTGTACGATTTTTTTTTTTAAATATTAATAATCTTTAACTTTTATGAGAAATAGACTGGTTTTTTCTTATCTATGTCCCTTCATTCATAAACCAAATTAATGCAAATTGTTATTAGTGGACACAAGCATATTGTTATGTTTTACAAATCCCTGTGAACTCGACCAATTTTAACATTATCATTAAAAATTAACACATAACGAATTGTTTTATTTCACGTTATACATTACCAGTCGGCAGTGGTGTCGTTACCAAAATAAAATTGTAAACGACACCCCAGTGGTGTGGTTCAGTGGTGTCGTTTACAATACACGAAATCTGTAGAGTGCGTATTTTAGTTATATGCCCTCACTGACTGCGTCATCAAAGCGGACCCTAAACCGCTGGGGCCACAAACTTTTTGCCAGCTGATGCTTTTTATATTGCAATCACCAACTGAGAAAAGATTTTTGGCAATTTCACCACAAAAATAAGGGATAAACGGTTGAATATTAGCATCACACATAGTTTTTTTAGAGCATTTCCATAGAACCCTGAATATCTTAAAGGTGTCCAAAAAATACCTAAATCAAACTATCCTAATACCTGCTGTTTGTGGAAGGGGTTGCGGTGAGTGATATGGTGCTGTTGGCGGTGGACGATACCCATGTCCTGCGTGATGTGGCGGTGACACCGGAAAATGCGGTGATGTTGCCAGTGGATGATACCCATGTCCTGCTTGATGTGGTGGTATTGTTGGATTATCTAGTGACGGTCGGTGGCCTGGCGGTCTTGGGGTCTCAGGAGTCGGTGAAGGTTTCTAAAGTAAAGAAAGTATCATGATATTTTTATACCAAGGTGCTTGGCAAAACCTATAAAACAGCAAAAGGGTAAATAACAACCCATGCCCGTTATCATCATCAACAGCCTTTAGTAGTCCACTGCTGGACATAGGCCTCTCCTTAGAAAGGAGGTTTTGGCCTACTATACCACGCTGGCCAGACGGGTTGGTATAGGGTTTGTGTCAAGTTTTCCTTCTCTTTGCAGTGTTGTTGTCCTGCGTAGTTTGCTCCCTTAGTCGGCTCTTACGACACCCACGGGATGAATGGGGGTGGGGACAATCCGTATTCTTAATCCGTCACCACACGGACAATATCATTAGCAACGCCATAACTAGTGGCCAAACCTAATGAGGTTCTACCCACATGTCCAAAACTTATTAAAAAAGAGAACTAAAACTGCTAACTGCTTAAATTAGCCTGCAGGCAAATTCCATCAACATCTTCTATTCATTTCCCATTTATTTTGGGAATATATACTACTCTTCCATCCTAGTCCTAACTATTCCTTCTTCATTTATAGAGAGATTTCTCCTATTACTCCTGAACCTCTTAACCATTGGAGCTTCGTTCAGGCTTCCACGTATGTATTCATACCCCATCTTATCCCTTCCAGTTTCAATGCTCGCATTTCAGCTACAGAGACATCACCCATTACCATTTTCAACCGACATTTAAAGTCGTGTAGGACGGCTAGATTAGATGGTACCATCTAGGCCTGTCCTTCCAGGGAGAAGCTTGTGGCATCCCCCTGGTAAGAGCCTAGATAGGCGCAGCATTGAATTGGTGGTCGTTGAAATAACAAGGTCTGGGTAGTCCCCAGGGTATTAGCCTGAGGCGGGCCGTCGCGGTGATTTTTAATGGAAGCACCATATACTCTTGCATCGCCGCGATGGCATCCCCAAGGAGCTTGAGATCCGAAGATATATTCCCTTAAAAACCTTAAAAATACCTGTCCTTTTAGTTTGTAAAAGAAATAGGTTAATTGGTTATACCGTCTGATTTTCTGTTTCCTGTTTCTGTTTTTCCCTCTCCTCTATTTCTCTTTCCTCTATTTCTTTTGCCTGTTTTTCTCTTTCCTCTTTTTCTCTTTCCGCTTTTTCTTTTGCCTTTTTCTCTTTGTACTTAGCAGCAACAAATTCAGCTCCCGTCTGAAAATGAGACCAAAAGTAAAATTACTTTTAGATCAACCAAACTGTTAAACAAAATTGCTATACATCTTAGTAGTACTGAAGAATTATTTTGGCCTGCTTTAGAATCGTAGCTCGAAAATCAAAACATCGTAATCGAAACCTAAGCACTAAAGAGATTACTCACTTTTGATTGAACAAATTATAAAAAAAAAACAAGTACCTAGTGGAAAATAATATTATTGTAATCATCATTAGCCTATTACAGTCCACTGCTGGACATAGGCCTCTCCCATTGCACGCCACTTAGATCGATTTTGAGCGGAGACCGCGTCTCGGCATAGTGTAGGACGCCCACATGCCAGATGGAGTGACGATTTGCGCAAATTGGCTGGCAGGAGCTCGATGGGAGAAGCCGAAAATCGATCTAAGCGGCGTGCAATATTATTTTATGTCAATCCAAAAACACAAGGAATAATTTTAATTCAGACTTATTAAAAAATAATAGTCGTATTTTTCTGAAGTCCAATTTCGCGGTGAAATTGATAAAAAGACAAAGTCTCAGTCTTTAAACAAACGTCAGTGTCAAAGTATAAAATGACAATAAAATACGAATATGCAAGTGAATTTATATTTCTGGTTTTCGGTTTTTGCGTTGCGTTCTGGCCTACTCCCTTTACTTTTTCAACATATAGTACATCAAAACACAGAGCAAATGACCGTGCTCATCACACAATTATTTGTTCTGGGTGGGAATCGAACCTCTGGCGTAGCAGTCAGGGTCACTAACCACTAGACCAACAGCCCAGTCAATATAGATAGTGTGATTATGTGTTATGTAAATTTGTATTATTTAATAATATATACGTAGCTATGAGAGGACCTGGTTGAAAACCTGTAATGCTATTGTATAGTCTGGTTATAATAATAATAATAAAAAAACCGTTACAAAAAGTAGGATTTTTATCCTTGTGTCACGTGATTGGAACAACCAATCAGAAAAGTGCTCGATTTTGACAGCTAATTGACTAATAAGCTGTCTTGCTTTTCTTGTCTTTAGTTGGCGCGCAAAGAGAATTTATAATTTGGTGTAGAAAAGTGATTTGAAAATATTGTTTAACTATTTTAAAGCGAATAACGTTTAAACGATCGTAAATTCATCTATACAAATAAATAAAATTAAAGTGTCTGTTTGTAATGTCAAAATAATAGGTTTTTTCATGATCACACGGTTATTTTCACCTATGCCTAAAAACCAGTTTAAATATTTTTTGACTGTCTTTCTATCTCTCTGTTTGTTCCGAGTAATCTTCAAAACGTCTGGACTACCAAGTAGCTGTCTATATAAGCAGTAACTTAGGTTATTTTTTCTCTCAGAAAAACCCTATGGCATTTTGCCTCGGGAATTCTCCTGGAATTTGAAAAGCGCTGGAACGAAGTTGCTGGAAGCTGGAAGAAGCTAGTTTGCTATATGAATAGATTATCCTCTGTCAAATGCGGTCTTTTAAAATTATTTGACTGATATATGTGTCTCAGTTTCTTGATGTGTAGGTCAACAATATTTGTGGACTAACCTTAGTTGTCAGTCTGCAATAAACGAGATCAAAGCCAGGCTCGTTTTATTAAAGAATTGTTCAATAAGTTAAATAGAAATAAAATTAAATAGAATAATAAGATTTTTCTTATATACTTATATAATAATAACCGATCAACGCAAGAACGTTCAATGCGTGATCCAGGATCATATAAGTACTAAGTACTTCTGCTTGTCTTCGCTAGATGGCGCTGTAATTAAAAAAAAATACCTTCAAAGGGTCGACATATTTGGAGTAGGTAGCAGCATTAACTGCGGGTTTGTCCTCCTTCGTAGCGCTCTTTTCAGGTTCAACGTCCTTTGACGGTCCAGCCGTCTTTGTGGGATCAGCCTCCTCCTGGAAACAGAAACTTTTCTTTGCAAAGGTTCAAAACGGCAAGATCTACATAGCGCGGTAATCAATTGTCAACTGTATATGGTAGCGGTTACCAAACCCGCTCGGTACGAATATTTTAAGCACCAAAAACAAAAGGTTGAAAAAGTGTTAGTTTATTTAAAACTATTAAAATCTTAGCACTTTTATAAAAGCGAAGCACTTGCTCATCAACTGCTTTTAGTAGCCCATTGCAAGGACATAGGCCCCTCCTTAAAAAGGAAGTTTTGGCCTACTATACCACGCTGGCCAGACGGGTTGGTGTAGGGTTTGTTTCAAGTTTTCCTTCTCTTTGCAGTATTCTTGTCCTGCGTAGTTTCCCCCCTTAGTCGGCTCTTCCGACACTCATGGAATAAATAGTGGTGGTGACACTCCGTATTCTTAATCCGTCACTACACGGACATCTGTTTAGTCAAATATTAATCAAAAGGAAGGTAATCTATTATAATTCTGCCGAAATAAAACCACCCGTTACCAAGGAGAGGGTGGAGGGATGTACCTCAACTCGGACCCCATTCCCCACAGCCGCTTTTTCCCCTCCACCCACCCTCCAGCGCTTGTACCGGATATCGCTTAAATAGAGATTACGGGTAGGCCGTCGGGAGGGGTCCCTATGTCTTAATAACAGCTGTTCCCGGATCCCTTCTATTTCAGGCGCAGAGTGGTAAACCGTATGGTTTAAGTCGGCTCGATTTTATCTTATGATAAGACTTATGATAAGACAGGTGTGGCAATCACACAATTTGCACATACGCCTTTAAACGAAGTCGGTTGAAGAATACCGTTATGCGGCCGGCAAGTGCCACGCCCAGCGACGACGGTTACGGAGGCGCTCGGCATCGAATCGTGCGCCATCGGATTTCCCTGCCTCGCCAGTCGTTACACGATACTGACGCCGAGAGGCTGCGCGCGCGCGACCGGACGACCGTTAAACGGCTACGACGCGAATCCAAGTATTTTTATTGTAATTTCCAGCTTCCTTTCTGTGCTTGTCTTGTTATCTTTCTGCCTATGCTTGTGTTTACTCTTCCTGTGCTTGAGAACAATATATGTGACTTATATCTACTATAAAGAGTGTTATTTAAAAGCTCCAATTAACTTTACCCGCTATCGTAGATACGAAAGATTCTACACAGGGCGTACAAACTCATGACCACACAGTACAAATAATCGTACTCATCACACAAGCAAATTGACATATTTTTTAACCCCCGACGTCTTTCCGTCGTCTGTCTATAACTTCGATCAACTATTGGAATACTATTATATACAAACTATTGTTGATCGAAGGTCTGTGGCATCGTATCTCCTAAACGAATGAACCTGAATGAATGAATTTTTGTTTATTTGAAAGTAAGTTTTTGCCTACGATACAAGGCTGGCAGGTACGGGGTTTGTTTTAGACTAACTCCCCCGTGGGATATTGAGACGGAAGTGCTCGCCGAAGGATATCGGCGGACGGCCCTCGGCAGTGAGTTCCGGACTCGGCCAGCAGTCGGCCCAGAGTGAGGCCACTCATCGAGCCACGATGGCTTGTTGGTCTGCCTGGCGGGCGGTTCCACGTGCCGGCGTCGGGAAGTACCTGCACTCGCTCGCTAGAAGGGAATTGAGTCCCGGGTATCACCACTGCGCCGTCATACTATCCATGGCTGGTAGCGACAGAGGTTTTACCGCGGTAAAATCATTCTGCGAAGACGTCATCTCGCAGAAAGAGAGGGTGGAGAGGGATGTACCTCCACTCGGACCCCATTCCCCAACGGCGAAACGGGCGGCAGAGGTGCGACTTCCCTTTTTCCCCTCCACCCGAGAGATTACGGGTAAGCCGTCGGGAGGGGTCCGTATGTCTTAATAACAGCTGTTCCCGGAGCCCTCCTATTTCAGACGCAGAGTTGCACACCATATGGTTTTAGTCGGTTCTAACACACCGCCCTGCCGCAGACCCAAGTAGGGTGACGGCCCCACACGTAATATAAGAGTTTGTTTCAGACCATGAATATAAACATAAAAAGAAATGGTTTCCTACCTCGGTCTCTTCATCTGTGTCCTCATTTTCAAGTTGTTCTTCATCAGAATCCGTAAGCGTGTGGAGTGAGTGCTGACTTGGAGTAGAATGTAGTTCATGATCTGATGGATTAGGCATCTAAAAAAGGCTGTATTTGTACACGAACAGAAATAAATATAAATAACTAGGTTCATCATCAATCATCGTCTCCCTGTCCTTGTTTTAAACTCATTTAAGGTCGACGGATGGACACTGCATTGGGTTTTGTCTATTGTTTTTAATAAATTGACACATCTCACACACGGTCCACCCCAAACTGGTAACTAGACTACTAACAAACATACGTATATTACTAAATAAATACATATTGTACGGGGCGGACGGGCAATCGTGGTATACCAATCAGCACTCGCACGTGTAACACCGAAAGCCTATCTAAATTACAACCTAAGTACGTGTATCGAGCGGGCACCGTAGTGAACCGAACAATACTCGTACGTAACCTACGCCTACCTACCTAAATCCCTAAATTCCCTAGCCCTACCAATATGTGACCCTGCGCTGAGGGTATATATAGATAAATAGATAGTGCGGGCAGTCTGTTACCTGGAGACCTAGGGTAACAGACAGAGACGTGAAGGGAGCGGGGTTTAGGAGATGATTTTCTCACTGCCGGTCGAGCAGACTCACAAGAATGATCTACTGACGGCTAAAGGTGTCTTGGCCGCAGTGAGAGGTGGGACAGGGTAATGAGTTAACGTCGGATTAGACAAAATTACTGATTTATCTGAAACCTCTGATATACTAAACTTACTCTAAGTACACATGGAAGGCTATGGCTTGTGTGCCATCCGTGTGTTGTGTTGCTGCAGCTGCCTTAATCTCGGTCACGCCGAAATGTTGACAGTGCATCGACTTTACGCCGCACCACGTGTGACATAGATGCTGTTGCTGGGTGATGCAATTATGTTCATGATTGAACACATATTATAGATAAACTACACTCAGACAATGTCCGTATCACACAATTTATTTGTCCTGGATGGGAATTTTTTTTCCGTGCGGAAATCCCCTCGGATACCACCTGTGGGTGGCATGTCGGACTCGAACCGACTAAAACCGCACTCCGTCTCGGGTACTAATAGCCGGGGAACCAGGTATACCCTAGAAAGGAAGTCCCTGGTACCCCGACATACCTCGGGTCATCTACAGACGAGTAGACGAGCCCCCCCGGGAATTTAACCCTCGACTTAGCTTAGCAGTCAGGCCCTGTCAGAGTCAGATTGTTTCACACTAATACAACACGTAACAGTATCTTTTTCAGGCTTACCAACTCAAGTCCTCAAACGATCCTCAGTGTGAATGGACTGCAAATACGGATGCTCCTGTCGTTCTTGTATTAAAATTAGGGTATACGGTCATTTCAAAACCAGCTGCGGGGATGCTGTTTATACATCTGGTTAAGATAGAAAAGCTTTCATAACAACATTATGGGTAAAAAGTAAAATACGGATTAATATACATTATTAAGTGGCATTTGGATATTTGTTTTAATTGAGGATTTTATTATTATATTTGTTTACGCTGTCATGTTGACATTGATCAAAGATTGAAGACAGGTTTTTTTTTAATTCTATCTTTTTTTATAACGTCTATGGTATTTTTATAGAGCAGCGTTCTGTCAGACAGGGTTAGTTCTTAGGAGGCCAATCACGTAAAACTTTCGTCTTTGGCGTCCTTATTCTAAAATATTTCTTACCTTGTACGACTTATAAATGGGAAATCAGATAATATTGTAAGCTGAATGGCAAACTATTAAATGCGTTGGCGATGTCCAACGACATAACGCCTCTTCGGTCGCAGCTCTCAGGTTCGTTCGTTCGACTGTCGAACGCCCCGGGGACCGACATCGCTAAGGTGCCAGGCGATGTGGGCAGGGAAAACCCACTCAAATAGTTTCCGCGACTCATCCAGCAACACGATGGGCCTGTAGGCCGCGACCGAGTCAGTAGGCCGTCCCTTCATTCTTTGTCGCGGCCAATTACCAGCTACAGATTTGTATGACAGATCAAGGCTGGAGTTTAGTTCAAGGCGATTGCCAATGAAACCGTGGAGTCTTACGAACCCATAGTTACAGTGCACAGTGGTTTTATTTAAATTACTACTAGTGTTACGAACCCAGTTCGAAGATACCACGTTTGGTATCAAACATTGGTGTTCAAAAAAGAATTGTTTTATGTTATAGAAGTAAATGAGCATACGGCTCACATGATGGTAAGTGACTATCGCCGTTCATGGACACCTACAACACAAAAGACATACGTGAGTTGCGGCGTTGAGTGTTTCTCCCGTCAGAATTCGAGGAATTATAAATTATAATAATAATAATATTGATTTGGATAAAGAGTCCAATCTTATATATAAAATTCTCGTGTCACAATGTTCGTTCCCGTACTCCTCCGAAACGGCTTGACCGATTCTCATGAAATTTTGTGTGCACATCGGGTAGGTCTGAGAATCGGCCAACATCTATTTTTCATACCCCTAAATGGTAAGGGTGACCCATCCCTAAATTTTTTTTTAGGCAAAGCAACGTTTTCCGAGTCAGCTAGTAATTTACAATAAATGGTTCTCGAAATGTATTTCATTTATGTTCTTGTTTGTTTGCCCGAAGTGCTTACTTTTATCAATATAAATCTACATAACTACAATTTAATTATAACATTCTATTAGCCTACGTAAGCAACTAGCAACATCGGTGATAATTGGGTCAAGAATAACGCACTAAGACCGTTCAGGAAATTTTCATTTACATATTTCGAGTAACTTTTTTTTTTAATGGGACTAATCCCACCCACACGCCCACCACTGTAACTCCTGTACACCAGGATCCACAGCAGTGACCCACGAACACACCGAGTTATGACACTCGGGAAGTCCCAGGAAGAAATTAAACTGTCTTGGAACCCGCAACGAAATTAATTTGAAGAAAATTGGAGGAGTTGGAAATACAGTAAATCCACTTCCCTCCTTAGCAAAGCGGTAGACAAAATGAAGTAAAATGGGCATACACCCTTTTAAACAGGGAAGCACCACGGCCACTAAATATTACGAGTCCTACGTGAGCTATATTTGATTTCTATAATATGTATGGCAGAATCGCCTAAACGCACGGAAACTCACCCTAGTTGACACAAGATCCCCATAGTATACCGCCCCAGATGTCACCTGCAAGGTATTCAGCATTATATTACGTTCATTATAGCAAAGACTACATTCCCAGAGGATATGATGAGCAGACTGTTCATAGTGAGAGTTAGGTAGTGAGCATTGACACAATGGTGACTCGACTAATTTAAATGAATAAAGCTTTCTAGTAACTGCTCAGTTTGATCATACGATTAAATTTGTAAATAATTGTGTAATATGTTTTATAGTGACGGATTAAGAATACGGAATGTCACTACCCCAATTCATCCCGTGGGTGTCGTAAGAACCGACTAAGGGCGCAAAACAACGCAGGACACCAGTACTGCAAAAAGACGGAAAACTTGACACAAACCCTATACCAACCCGCCTGGCCAGCGTGGTATAGTAGGCCAAAACCTTCTTTCTAAGGAGAGGCCTATGTCCAGCAGTGGACTATTAAAGGCTATTGATGTGTGATGATGATGTTTTTACTGCTGACATTGATTGATTGACACTGATTGACAGAAATTGGTGGGAGGAAAGGTAACCTTAATCAACGGGTAAAAAAGCAATGAAGGAATTGCTAAACCCCTTCTTCTGTGAGGCCGTGTTATCCGAGCCTGCTAATTTCCGCCGAAGAATGGCTCTCCCACGTACCCTCCAAGTAGATTAAATGCATACTATTTTTTTGCTCTTGTAAGCAGATCGTGGTGATCCTTGCGTTTGGGCCATTCGATCATACATTTTATAGAAGTAAAACATAGCACACACATTGCAGGGACCTGAGGTCATCGGAGAATTTAAAACTAAAAATGCCAAAACATTCCACCCAGTTTGCAGACAAATCTTTCACTGTGCAAAGTAAGAGTAAGACTCTGGAACAACTTGCCTGAAACAATCCGACAAGCTAAAACTTTGCCTGTTTTTAAAAAAATATTAAAGGATTTTTATCTGTCATTATAAATACTGTTCTGATTCCCTATTTAATATATTATATATTCCAAATATGTATGGGTATATGTGTATGTATGTATGTGTATTTGTATATGTGTAATGTCCATAGATGTATATTTGTGTATGAATGTGTTTGTTTATGTTTGTAAATATTTTTAAATATTCACGTGATATTGTGTTACGTGTATGTTTACTACCCGAAATTGTTAAATACCTAAAATCCATGTTAAGGTTGTCTGGAAGAGATCGCTGTGAGCGATAAGACCGCCGATTGTTACGTTTACTTATTTGTAACTCATCTTTTCTTTTGTTTTTTTTCTATTAGTGTATACAATAAAGATATAATAAATAAAATAAACATAGCCCACTTTGGACCCATAATATTTTACTCATACTTTGGGCAATAGATTTCTTCTGATTAATTTTGTTGCGGGTGCCTAAACAGTTAATTTTTCTTTTGCCTACCCGCTTGCTGTTTATCCTGGTGTATAGGAGTTACATTGTTAGGCTTGTGGGTGGGATTTGTCCCATAAAAAAAATATCGTGGAGGTTGCCACAAGTAAAAAATACAAACCAACCTGTCTAACTGTCCTCTTCACTAGTTTCAGGTACATGAGTCTCCATAGGAACAGGAGTCTCCGCAGGCCCACCATCAGGTACGTCACTGTTTTCTCCTTCTCGCATTCCTTCAGGATGCCCTAAACCTAGAGCTGACAACAAGGACGGACCGCAGCAGCAAAGTATAGCAGCCAGACAGCCCAAAAGGGGGGCACAGCATCCAGTACCACCTGTGGAACAGAAGCAACCAGTTTTTGTAGTGAAGATGAATAATACCCTTACTATTTAAACACATAATTATCTAATGATGATTATGTGTTTAAATAGTAAGGGCTGCTGCTAATCCCTTAATAGTCCATAGGGACATAGGTCTCTTCTCAGAAAGGAGGTCTTTCTACCTACTATACCACGCTTGCCAGACGGGTTGGTATAGGGTTTGGGTCCCAGCGAACCGGGCGGCGGAGGCGCACTTATCACCGCCTCATGCCGCCCTGAGTGTGGCCGCGGGTGGACGGGGTGGGTTTCCCCTCCACCCGTATTAGTTTGGCCAGCCGCGAGGGGGCGGCGTCCGCGTGTGCCGGACGTCGCCTAAAGAGAGGAAAAAATTTTGAGACGGAGCCCGCAACAGGAGCGGGCCGGCGCTAGGAGGGGTCCGGATGTCTTAATAACAGCTGTTCCCGGATCCCTCCTATTACAGGCGCAGAGTGGCACACCGTGTGGTTTTAGTCGGTCCGAGTCCGACACACCACCCCGCCGCAAACCCCGGTGAGGTGACGGTCCGAGGGGATTTCTACACGTAAAAAAAAAAAAAAGGGTTTGGGTCAAGTTTTCCTTCCAGTTCTGTTGTCCTGCGCAGTTTGCTTACTTAGGGCTCGTGCAGCGTGCAAGCGATTTCGCGCGAATTGGGTCGTCATAAGGAACTAAGCGGCTCCTTACAGCGACTGGTCTGCAGAAATGGATTACTTTTTTTGCCATCTATTTCATAACTAGGCTAGCGACCCGCCCTGGCTTCGCACGGGTGCAATATAGATACTACTGTGGTGTCAGCGTGGAGAAATTATTTATATTATTATTATGATCAGACCTCTCAGCCCCGCATTTTAAATCACTGATATCTTCTAAGATACTTATTTTAATGATATGCTGTTAAGGGCAATTGAAATATGTGTTGTTTGAAGCAAATTTTTTTGTTATTTTTTTTATTAAATTAGCTTTTTATCGATAAAATATTACAACCCACCCCTCTATAATAATTGTTATAAGACTTTCTTGTATACCTTGCGGTTGTTGTTGTGGAGGGTATCCTTGTTGTGGAGGGTACCCTTGTGGTGGAGGGTACCCTTGTGGTGGGGGGTACCCTTGTGGTGGTGGGTACCCTTGTGGTGGGGGGTACCCATGTGGTGGGGGGTACCCATGCGGTGGAGGGTACCCTTGCGGTGGAGGATACCCTTGTGGTGGGGGGTATCCTTGAGGTGGGGGGTACCCATGTGGTGGGTAGCCTTGAGGTGGATAGCCTTGATTCGGGTACCCTGGGTAACCTTGCTGTGGGATAAAAGTGAAAAGGTTAGTTTTAAGTGTAAGTTTTTAGCCGTGGGAGAGCCATGCTTCAGCACAAATGAGTAGGCTCAACAGGAGTGGTACCACGGCCTCGCTGCAAAACCGCTGTCAAGCAATTCGGTAAAAGGACTGCCTCGGTGGCGCCATGGTAGCGTAAGCGACTGCTGTGCTGAGGATCTGGTTTGATTCCCGGGTCGGACCTAATGTTTGTATGATCTGCTTATATTTGTTTCAGTATTTGAGTGTCTTTTATATATTATATGTGTATGCTATATTTATTATGTTGTTTTCAGTAAAATGGTTTATTTACTCATTGTGATATCATTTTAAACAAAAAACAATGAATTCTCGACACTTTAGCAGACTCATCACATCCCTAAAGTCTTATATGTTTTTATGTTAGTCTTGCATGTATTACTCAGCAAGTATATATATGTATGTGTATCTCAGTATGTATGTAACCTAATTTTAATTTCATGCACCTACTCAGACATTTCCCTACCACCCAAAGGTAGACTGGGAGAAAATGCCTTTGGCATTAAGTCCGCCATTGTACTTTGTGCAAAAAGCATAAAAAAAAAAAAAAAAAAAAAACTATAAAAAAAATTATGAATTTTCCAGCAGAAAATTTCAATTATTTTCGACTCAGAATGATGGTCTGAATACACTATTACAGTATTCGTTACGACGTCTCTTATACCCTGCATATGGACATAAGTGGGCATCGAATCCTCAATCCTGCAATTCTATCTTCCCATTACATAAAACTTCTTATCTTCAAGAGGTGACTCGTTCACAAAAGTCTCGGTTTAAATTTGATTCTAAAATGGCACATAAACATGAATAACAAATGGATTCGGCGTTCAGATACGTTGTTGATATTTGTTGTTTTTGCGTCTCGGCAAACGCAGTGTAGGACGCCCACAGGCCAGGTGGAGTGACGATTTGAGCAAGATGGTTGGCAGGAGCTGGATGCGAGAAGCCCAAAATCGATCTAAGTGGCGTGCAATGGGAGAGGCCTATGTCCAGCAGTGGACTGCTGCAGCTGGTGATGATGAGACAATTTGACAGAAATTTTATATCACATCATCTTTTGTATACGTTATAATATATTTAAAATAAACAAAATAACTAGTAAAATACAATTTTCATGGAATATAGTTATAATTTATTAGTTTAAAAAAGTACAAATAAAATTCTAACATAATTTTTAGTGCAGTAATTGAAATAGCTACTGCAGATATTGACTCCCGCGTCGATGGAACTTTTCTGTGACATATAGTTGTGTAGGGACGCGGTAGACGCAGGAACGTACAAACACGTTGTGCGGTTGTGTGTGGTCACTGGACATTAGTTTATTTAAATGATAAAAAAAAACGACGGGTGAGTGAGTGCTTTCAGAAGTGAAAACTTGAATATTAACGTTGTGCATTTTTCATATTTTGGAATGGTTAGGGAATAATTTTGCACGAATTGCTTTAATTATCAGTATAAAAGTACTGTCATTTATGTGGTAGAATACAATATTTATTTATTGCGCTATCGTACACAAACATGACAATTTATATTACATTAAAAAGTTTATCTCTCAGAAAAACGAACATTCGCGCAAGCGCCCTGCGCCGCGTAAAAGAAACAGCAGGCGCAGGCTGTCTACTCTCCATCCGTCTTACGAATTTTTGATCAGGGTCACGTGTCCTGACGCGAGTTTAACATTTTTTACCCATTACAAAAAAAGTGTATGACGCCGCTAAGAAAGAAAAGAAAGAAAATTTCGATATATTGTGACAAAATGTACATTGAAACAAATCTTTGCTTTAGAATTTACCGGATAACAACGTCCTGCATTCTGTTTTTTAACGTCATCGTATGTTGTGCGGTATCAAATATACCAATTATGGCGTATAATCGCGAACTGACCGTGAACGTGTTAATAATAATATGAGAATTATTAATTTACCTGTTGTTTGTATGGCAATTGTCCAATTTTCCCGAATATCCCACCGAAAGGGCCACGTCTTCGGCGGGGTGGTTGTCTATCTAAAGCCCTCGGGCCATCTTCACTGTGTTCTGGTTCGTCCAAATGTTCTGGCTATTGCAAGTTACCAATCAATATAAAATTATAACTGTAACGCTTAAAATCATGCTTTTATTACATTCAAAATGGCGCCACACAGCCGCCATCTTGAACTTGTTTTTAGAACAAAATAGCAGTTTTTTTTTTAGTCAGCAAGACTGTGATCACGGCCAGTGCAACCTGGTTTAAACGTCAGGTATTTCTTAGGTTATGAATAAAATCACATAGTTCTAACACACATAAGTATAAATTCCACCTATGTATCAGATCTGACAATAGCAATGAATAATGTCACAAGTTGTAATTCTGTACCATAACTGTTTTAAAGAACATTACGTTTTGGCGTCTAATAGTAGACAGTCAGGTACACTAAACAGAGTCGAATGTACTTTTAATATCTTTTTTTTTTGTTGACGGGGAGGAAAATCCCTTCGGATCTTCTGCTCCTCGGGTACTCAGCAGCCAGGAGTATGTGGTGATTCCACTAAAAACCACCCCGACGGCCAGCCTCAGGTGTCCTACTCTAGGAGGACCCGGACCATATTATTTCAGGTCCACCCCGAATTGACACTATACCTAATCAGGCCCTATCCCAGGGATAATCACTTCCCCCTTAATCGCGTAGTGGCGGCCCGATTGCATCTTAATGCAATCAGGTGCCATTCTATCTCCTACTTTTAATGGCCACAAATAAATGATTAAAATGATAGACCTGAATTTCTTTCTTCTGAGTCCCGGACGTCTTCGTGTCCTCCACTGATACTCCTAATTCATCCCTGCAGGTTATTATTTGGCTTTCCTGTGCAATAAATAATTAACTTTGGAAAAGTATCATCGACTTGCGCCATCATCAACAGCCTATAACAGTCCACTGCTGGACATAGGCCTCTCCTTAGAAAGGAGGTTTTGGCCTACTATACCACGCTGGCCAGACGGGTTGGTATAGGGTTTGTTTCAAGTTTTCCTTCTCTTTGCAGTGCTGTTGTCCTGCGTAGTTTGGTCCCTTAGTCGGCTCTTACGACACCCACGGGATGAATAGGGGTGGTGACATTCCGTATTCTTAATCCGTCACCACGCGGATTTGCGCGACTTGCGCCGCGTCATGATAACTAATAACCTCGCACATCTCAGACACGGCCGTCTGATCCCAAACTAGGCAGAGCCTGTACTATGGTAACCAGACTGCTGATAAACATACTTATATAACACTACATACATACATACTATAGATAAATTATTTATTTAATTAATTATTTATGCGCAAGTATGAGTTGTACAATGGCGGACTTAATGCCACAGGCATTATCTCCCAGTCTACCTTAGGGTGGTGCTGAGAGCGCAGAACGACCTCCGTCCTCCATAAGCGCAGGCCTGGGGGTGACAAGTGAGGCCATCTGTCACCCTAGCAGAAGCAGGCCGGGGTGGCGGCGAGCGCGTTACGAAGCGCGCTCGCTTCCAGGGAGCACAGGGAACATGGGGTTCCCACACGGGGTGGGGTCGTCTACTTGTCTGTAGATGACCCGAGGTATGTCGGGGCACCAGGGACTTCTTTTCTAGGGTATACCTGGTTCCCCGGCTATTAATACCCGAGACGGCGTGCGGTTTTAGTCGGTTCGAGTCCGACATGCCACCAACAGGTGGTATCCGAGGGGATTTCCGCACGGAAAAAAAAAAAAAAAAAAAAAGGATGGTGCTGAGACAAAATTATTGAGAAGTTAGAAACAATAAAAACAATCATACCAAATACATACAGATACATAAATACTTACCTAGTTACATACATACATAAACCTACATATTCATAATATATAAAGTTTTAAGGTTGTAATGAATCTGCTAGGTCTACAATGCGAGCTCGAACTTTCATCTTGAATGAGACGCGGCTGGGTGCTATCCTGATTTCTAGAGGGAGAGCGTTCCAGAGGAGTACGGATTGGATTAGGAACGAGTAGACACAAGCGGGAGTATGAGTGGGGCATAGCAGAAGCGTATTGTTTGATGAATGGAAGGTTCTATCGTGGTTGGAAAACAGAAATTGGAATGAAGATTTCAGGTAGGACGGGAAAATGGGTGAGTTTAAAATGATATAGAGGGTGGTGAGGGCGCGCAGCTAACAGAACGGCGGCCTGTTGGTCTAGCATCTAGTGGTTGGTGACCCTGACGGCTAAGCCAAGTGATGGGTTCACTTCCCACCCAAGACAAACGATGATAACCACAATCATTTGTACCGTGTCTGTTTATACGTTATCTACATGTACATATGTGTGTATTTAGTAATTTTACCATAGCTCAAGCTCTGTCTAGTTTGGGATAAGACGGTCGTGTGTGAGAAGTATCTAGTTATTATGTATTACGTTTCTGTACTCTATACATAGCTGTGTTTTCATAACTACTGTTTTAATACAACATTTCTAACTGTATGTTTCTCCACCTTGTGTTGTTGTACATTCTTTCTTTCTCCACCTTTCATACAAGGTACATAAGTTGTTCCATACTCTGGTTAATAGGTAGAAGTTTATCTGTACTATATAACCATTCTTCACCATTTCAGTCACTTTTAACGTCACTGTTCCGCGCCTATGTATCGTAGCATAATGTTAGTCTAATACCTTTATCGAGAACTAGGCTATTAAATACAAAAAGAACTATTCAATTCTGGCTGGCAGTTTTGGAGATAAACGCGGTGAATGGACGAATACAATCAGATTTATTTCGTCATTTTAGTATTAAGTATGTACTAACTTCTTCATTCATAGTTATTTTACTTTCCATATGCTGTTTAAGTAATCATTATATAATTTTTTTATAAACTTTTCCTTAATAAATGTAAACAAAATAAAACTAAAAATGATAAACTAGAATTTGAAAGGTTTTGTCAAATTTTTGATTACGACAGACCTTGAGAGGCATCATAGATATTTGTTCTTTTTTTTAAGAAGTAGCATTATAAGGAGTTTTCATGTTTGGCTTTGATTAGTCTTGGTAAGGCTGGTAAGGCTAAGTTTGGTAATTTGTTAGTGTGCTAGACTCGTATAATAGTTTTTTATCGACAGGAATTTTTTAGTTGAGCCATTTTGTACTATTTTTTTAAATATTAACTTAATTGCTAGAACAATGTTTACAAGGTTGTTTACATACACGAAAATTGTAGGAAAACACGTATTTTATTCCTGAAGATAATACCTAAATCACTAGGTAAAAAGCATATTATAGATAAATAACAGCCAGACGTAGAGCAATTAATTTGTCTTGAATGGAAATCGAACCCACAACCCTTGGGTTAGCAGTCAAGGTCACTAACCGCTAAACCAGCACTAAACTACTCTACACTTACACAAAAACACTAGGGATTCCAGAATTTGATACGATAATTACAAACTTGATGCTCCACAGACAGTCAACTTACAAATTTAACTGACTGGAGACATTATCTTGATGTTCCTCGGCGCCGTCGGAAACACGGAAGGATCCAGTCCCGTAGCGAAACTCTTCGATGAGCTACAAAGAGATCTCCTCTTATCACACTACTGTATAAATAAGAACGTTCGGATGGGTGTTTGTGACTGAATATCGCCAAAACGGTTAAACCATCTTAATGAGATTTGCCACAGAAATAGTTAGAGAAATTTTTTTTGTCAAATCGATAATAACACATGTGACTTTTATATATGTATTTCTGAGATACGCTACTAGTTTCGGGGACAGGTGGGGTATTTTTATCAAGGGATGAAGACGTTTTTAATCCTACCCTGTCACAAAATCTATCCTTCGCTGACGTCTTTTAGATACAAACTAATTTTCTGACAAACTGCAGGTCCTTAGTCGGAAAACTGAGGACTTCGATTTAAAATTGAACTGAATTTGATTCTCTCTTAAAATATCGGATGGTGAAGACCATCTTCCTGGCACATTTCGGGGTTCTCGTCCTCAAAAAGTCTTTTTAAAGGTTGGAAACAGCAACAGCATAAATTATCTGACAAATTTCAGATCTCTAGTACTAAGAACCCTTACTGGAGTAAAGAGATTACTCCCAAAGATCCAGTCTTCTATTGTAAATACCCTAGTTCTGTTATTTTTTAAAGGCCGGCAACGCGTTTGTGACTCCTGAGTTGCAGACGTTCATGGGCAGCGATGGTCATTTTCCATCAGGTGACCCGTCTGCTCGTCTGCCCCCTCTAACATAAAAAAAACCAAATTCACTTAAAAAATATTTTCGCTGCAGTTTTTTTTTGTTTTTTTTCTTATAAGTTTAAGTATAAGTTTATCTGCAGACGACTGAGTTTCGGAATGTTATTGGCTGAAGACGTCTCGTCGAAGAAAGCCTGAAGAGCTCTAACTTTGTCCTATTATCTATATCTACAGTGCAGATATAAACATACCAGCATCAAAGTTGCGGCGACGTCGCCGAGTGCCGTGCCTCTGAAAAAATGGGGTCTGGTGACGTACCCTTCTATATCTGTTGGCGTCTTGTTTCATGCTCTGCAACCGTATAAAAAGAAACCTCTAGACCGGAGTTAATACCACGGCTTCACAGGAATTTGGTGTTTAGCAATTCTTTAGATGTTTCGTTACGGTACTATGAACTGACTGAAAAACAGGCCGGTTTTCTCTCCAATAACCTCGCTCACTCGGTGAAAAGCTAAGAAAGAATTGCTCAACCCTGGTTTTCAGTGAGGTCGTGGCATCACTCCGGTCACATCAACTCATTCGTGCCAAAACTTGGCTAACACATGAATAAGTATGTTGTACACTACCCACAGTTTACAGTTTAGCATAATCATACACACTATCCCTTGGGAAAAATAATAGAGATCACCGGTAACCTCGTACCTAATTATACTAGAAAAAAACATACAAGAGTGCCATCTAACGAAAATACACTGAACTACATAGTAACTACAAATCCTGTATCGCGGTATGAAAAGTTCTCACGCTGGTTACTATATTTATATACATCATTGGACCGTCAGGCATGGTCACCTCTCCTGGAGGGTCTTAAATGCTCATTCTTCCATAAAGATACTGCTTCTTTATGATACCCTATATCCTTGTCTCTAACAACGTTTAAGTAAAAGTTTAATGGTAATTGGTTGAGTAATTTAGGTGATAAAATTTTCATTCATTTTCGTTTACATACTATTAGATATAGTTAGGATTGTATTTACTTGTTTGTACGTAGGCAATTTTGGTGGCAAATGGCGAGGTACATTTGGTGGTGGTGGTGGATGTTCCAGCTGAAACAATGCCCAATATGAATTCTAGTATTTATAGACTGGCCTTAACAGATGACTCGGTTAAGAGAGGTCGGGTTTTCCAGAAATAGTCGAAGCGTACGCGACCCGACCCTCCCTATTCAAATAATACCTCTTTCCTTCCATTGCGTTCTCCTCTTACCTACCTTTATTTTGTTATAATCTCATTTTCCTTAAGTGTTAGGCAGGAATGGATTTGCCCCCTATTTTGTAAATGAGATCGAAAAAATAGTCGGCAAATGCAGGCCTCTGTCCCCCCTCTTCGATGAGATAGACACAAGGCAATTATTCATACAACTCTTATACTCGATTTCTGTGTCATTTACGCTAGACTGTCTGTCTAGGTTGCTTAAACCATTATTAAGTGTAAAACGCCTGTAATAATTCGAATAGCAATTATTAACTTCAGTTTGTTGCTATTTTTATATAGCAGGCGTATCATTTATAGTAGTTATAACTAAGTATTACCGTTACAGGTAACCAAACCACTATATAAAAGAAGATATTATTTTTAAGTTATAGGCCACTCTAGGATCATTAACTTCACTGGTGTACCATGGTAGTGTCTAAACATGGATAGATTGCATAGAAACATAGTGGTTTTAGTCACTGCTCTTTCCTAAATATTGTAGCGTGATATTAAATAGTATATAACTTCCCTTAATAACTGGGTTACGGTAAACGCTAACAAAAGTGTTCATTCATTAATGGTGGTTTAAGAGATGAATATCATATATCATATGATTAACAGCCTTTACTAGTCCACTGCTGGACATAGGCCTCTCCTTAGAAAGGAGACTTTGACCTACTATACCACGCAGGCCAGACGGGTTGGTATCGGGTTTGTGTCCAGTTTTTCTTCTCTTTGCAGTGTTGTTGTCCTGTGTAGTTTACTCCCTTAGTCGGCTCTTACGACACCCACGGGATGAATAGGGGTGGTGACACTCCGTATTTTTAATCCGTCACCACACGGACGAAGAGATGAATACGTTAAAAAAAAGAAATCGATTTAAACTTTATTTAAAACATTGACAAAGCGACTTACTCTGTTGCCCATATTAAAAAAAATACGTAAATGTAAGTAAAATCAACACTTTTAAAATGTCATAAGACATGATTAGTTATTTATATAATAAATAGTTATAATAAATAGATCGAATTTACATCATAGTTTTCTGTAAACAATATCAGATTTTGACAAGTACCTAACTGTCATAAAATTTTGGCACATCCGTTCAGAAATCTGATCTGTATATGGATGGTGGAAGAGCCATGATCATAAAGATATAAGCATACAGAGAACCCGGAGTACAGCTGTCTGTAAGTGGAAGCGATACAGGCTACGAGAGAGATGAAAGCCCGATAGTTTCCTCTGCTTTTGTTTAGCTCTCTGTTAAGCTAAGCTGCGATAGGCTAGTTATTACCCCCTCATATTCCTGAGCCAGTCACAGAGCTCGACTAGAAAGAGATAGAGGCATCTATCTATTATCCTTATATTCTATGGCCATAATTCGGTACAAATGGGCTCCGTTTGACTCCAGTGATATCCCGGCCTCACAGAAAACAGATTTTAACCAATTCTTTTCTTGCATTTGTGTGTTTTTTCTTTGTTTACCGAGTGTGTGAGGTTACCGGAGCTCAAGCCCTCCCGCATTCACCTCTCTCTCTTCTCGCAACTCTTGAGATGCAGATGACCGTGAGCGGCGGCAGTCACTAACCATCAGGTGACCTGCCTGCTTGTTGGCTCCCTATACCATAAAAAAAGACAAGTCACCTCCAAACTTTGTCTTGTTTGAAGACGATGGAAAACTTCCATAGCGACTTGGCTTTAAGCAAGCGGCCGGTCATCATAGAAATCAGATAAAACTCATCGCAAAGTTGAGGCTTAATATAATTCATAGCTTGTTTGAAGTCCAGTTGTTAATGTTGAAAAACTGTACAAATTGAGAATTTTCATTGCGTGATACGGAATCCGTGCGTGTGATGACGAAATGACGATCCTTGGGTGTCGTAAGAGTCGACTAAGGGAACAAACTACTCAGGACAACAGCACTGCAAAGAGAAGGAAAACTTGACACAAACCCTATACTAACCCGTCTGGCCAGCGTGGCATAGTAGATCTAAACCTCCTTTCTAAGGAGAGGCCTATGTCCAGCAGTGGACTAGTAAAGGCTATTGATGTAATATAGAATCAGTATTTGATACAGAACTATTAGGGTTTCTAACATCTATTTTTCATACCCCTAACTGGTAAGGGTGACCCATCCCCAATTTTTTTTTGGTTTGCAATACAACGTTTGCCGGGTCAGCTAGTTTCTATATATTAATACGTAAAGCGAAAACTATGTACCCCTTTTTAAGAAAAATTGCGAAAACGGATGACCGTGAAATTTAAAACAGTTAAAGTTTATATGGAGAAGGAGTGCATAAAGCTTTTTTTTATATAAGATGCATTAAAAATACATTAAATTTATTAAAACAAGCATTAAACACACTACTGTTTAAATGATACACAACATACACACCATACTTACCCTTTTGTTCATGGTTAAAATCTATGGTCAAACTGTAGGTTAATTTTATAATATATGATGAAACCTAAGGTAAAGAAATACAAAAAAATATATGGTATTTTTTATCTTAGAATAAAACCTGTAGAGGTAGGAGGTCTTTGACATTGTGGAGGGAACGACTCGGGCAACCGAGCGCCGGGCACGCCGTCATCGCGGCGGTAAGACCCGTTATGGAGGGTTGGCTCGAGAGGCGTCACGGGAACCTCTCATACCGACTGACGCAGGTGATCACCGGGAAAGGATGTTTCGGGGATCACCTGTGTCTGATCCGCAAGGAGCTAACGCCTGAGTGCCACCTCTGCGATGGCCAGACCGTGGACACGGCTATCCACACGCTGGCAGAGTGCCCGGCGTGTGGATAGCCGAAACCTCGTGGCGGCCATCGGAGTGGGAGTTCTCTCGCTCGATACCCTGATTGCGGCTATCGTGCGGAGCGAGAGTGCGTGGAACTCTGCCGTCTCCTTCTGCGAGCAAGTTATGCTCGCGAAGGAGACGGCGGAGCGGGACCTGGAGAGGTTTAGAACTCTCCCGGCCCGCCAGGCCCGGGAACGGGCCAGGTACCGCAGGCGACTCAGGCGCCGGAGGTCGCAGAACGACCTCCGTCCTCCATAAGCGCAGGCCTGGGGGTGACAGGTGAGGCCATCTGTCACCCTAGCAGAGAGCAGAGGGAACATGGGGGGGGGGGGGTCGTCTACTCGTCTGTAGATGGCCCGAGGTATGTCGGGGCACCAGGGACTTCCTTTCTAGGGTATACCTCTATATAATATAACCTCTATATAGTATAACTCTAATAAAATTTAAACTTATAATTAAATCAATTATGGTCGAATTTTGACATCTGGGTGACCACTAGTATCTTTTAATAAGTAATTTTATGCAGGAATGTCATTACCATCAAATGTCAATACTCCACGGTACATAATTACACTAATTACGAATATATTAAATGTATCTACGACTCAACTTGTTTATAGTTGATCAACCTTAGTGTGAGCTGTTTGAACCGTTATATGGATTAAAAAAAACTTAATTAATTATCACCTACGATAGATGGGTTCACTCTCCGATACAATGTTTTTGGATAATTTGCATTGCAATCAATAGAGAGCTACATAATTTATCAGAATATTTATTTATGTATTACCAAACTTGCATTTATTATTGTAGGTTACAAACCTAATGCAATAACGAAGCAACTTGTTATTTTTATTTTTAACATAGTATAAATCAATCATCATCATCAACAGCCTTTACTAGTCCACTGTTGGACATAGGCCTCTCCTCAGAAAGGAGGTTTTGGTCTACTATACCACGCTGGCCAGACGGGTTGGTATAGGGTTTGTGTCAAGTTTGCCTTCTCTCTGCAGTGATGTTGTTATGCGTAGTTTGCTCCCTTAGTCGGCTCTTACGACACCCACGGGATGAATAGGGGTGGTGACACTCTGTCTTCTTAATCCGTCACAATAGTATAAATATCGTTGTATAATGTGAATTCACTCAGCGAACAATGAAACATGTCAATCTCCTCTGTAACGATATTCAGCGTGCGGAGCGCCCGAAATCGAGGCGCCTCAGTGAGAAGATTTGTACGCCCTCGTGGCACCGCCAGCAGCCGGCAATATGTAAATTGTGTTGATATAAGTTTATTTTAGCAAGCGAAAAATCGATGTTTCACGAAAATTCTTTAAATTATCGAGAACATGGAACAATGCTCCATTGAAGTGAAGGAATAAATAAAAAAAATCAAGTCTTGCCTTTTGCTTTGACGTTTTATTTTTCCATTCTGCCATCTACCATCAGTTCATGGTTTACTTCCTTTCTGATCATATCCTCCTTTACGTAATCCATCCACATTTTCTCTAGTCATCTTCTATCGGTTAACATCCTGACAGGCCTGTTGGTCTAGTGGTTAGTGACCCTGACTGCTAAACCAGAGGCTGTGGGTTCGATTCCCACCTAAGACAAATATTTGTCTGATGACCACGACTGTTTGTTCTGTGTCTGGGTGTAATTTATCTATAATATGTATGTATTTAGTAATATATAAGTATGTTTATCAGCAATCTGGTTACCATGGTACAGGCTCTGCCTAGTTTGGGATCAGACGGTCGTGTGTGAGATGTGTGACGTTTATTATTATTATCCATTCATGATACTCTCATCACCACATTTTTTTCATCCTTCAGAACCACATTTTCTTACCAAGTATTCGTCCACTGGCACTATTTTAAGTGTCTATTTTATGGGGTTTAAACCGTGGGAGAGTCATGCCGTATACAGAGTGGCACATCAGGACTAATCAGGAATGATACCACAGCATCACAGAAAACAGTTGTTAAGTAATTCGTTCGTTGCTTTCCACAGAGTCAACCAAGGTGAGGTGAAAAGTGAAATTACCAGAGACCAAACCTCGCCTCCTTGATTCTAGTTGGGGAGATTCAAAGGACGTCAACTGAACTGTGACTCTCGAGTTAAAGTTGTCCATGAGCGAAGATAGTCACTTGCCTTAAGTGACCTGCCATAAAAAAAATGTATTAATTTCTAACCTTGTCTATTCTAGTCACATCACACCCCCCCCTCAACATTCGCATTTCAACAAGCAGGCGTCTCTCATCCGTCCAGTTAAACTCTTCAGAGGTTAATAAACCTTTTAAGTTTGGGCTCATACGACCCATGATGAAACCAGACGTCAAAATTGGCGCCTTTTCCACGCTTTAAATTAGCAAATCTCTGTAACGAAATCTTTTAAAATAGTTTTAGGCCCTGTTTCAGTAAATAGTTAGTGTAAGTAAAAGTTTGGTGTGGTGCCGGATTAAGAATACAGACTGTCTCCACCCCTATACATCCCGTGAGTGTCGTAAGAGGCGACTAAGGGAGCAAACTACGCAAGACAACAGCACTGCAGAGAGAAGGAAAACTTGACACAACCCCTATACCAACCCGTCTGGCCAGCGTGGTATAGTAGGCCAAAACCTCCTTTCTAAGGAGAGGCCTATGTCCAGCATTGGACTATTAAAGGCTGTTGATGATGATGATGATGAAGTAATGGTTTTAGTGGAGCAGAGGGGAGCTTAGCGGTGTATAAATTGACCAGTCACAATGTTGGATATCTCCACTCCGCTTCAATGGCAACAGTACGAATGGAGTGGAACAGATAATTCTTGAAAAATACTATCAAGGACCGATACCAATACAAGACAAAAAGTTAAAATAAAAAGCCATGTTTTTATAGCAAGGCGATGTTAAAAGTATAACTTTTGTAAATAAGAACAGCGTTTTAACTGTTATTTTTCAGGCGGCAAGTCTGCAAGGGTTTTCGTAAGTTTCTTTGTTAGGTTTCATCCTTTAATAGTCCACTGCTGAACATAGGCCTCTCCTTAGAAACGAGGTTTTAGCCTGCTATACAACGCTAGCCAGTAGACAGGTTGTTTTAGAGTTTGTTTTTAGTTTTCCTTCTGTATGTAAGTAGTGCTTTTGTCCTCTT